AAATTCCTTTTTAAGAAAGACTTTTTTTGGAAGTCCAAAAACTACTCTTCATTCATGTTCCATTGTACTCCTTATCCCTTTATATTTTCACTTTCCTATTTTAACGAAATGGATTGATACAATGTATCAGTGTTGTGTGATGTGAGGAATGTCAGTATCAAACACTAATGAAATGTTTCACAATTTTCTCATTCCATTAAAGAAACTAAGAAAGTTGGAAATGGCTGACATGGTAAGTTGATGAAAAGAAGTAAGTACTTAAACGACTTAATGGTAATAGATGGTAAATTAAAAAAATCCAAATAAAGGGAAAGTAATAGGCGGGAAAAGGTTTCCTTTATTGGGTTAACTAGGGAGATCTATGGGAGAAGAAAATCAGTCTGAAACATGATGATGAAGTAAGATTGAAACTAAGGCCAGATGTTTCAAGTAGTATTTGAAGTTAATCCTGAATTTGAGACATCAAACCTCAACTTAAAGCACCCAACTCTAACCAAACCCCAGCTTATAGAATGAAACCCTAATTAAGCATAGCCTCCAACCCAATCTTCAGTCCTTTGCACAAAAGTTCTTAATAAATCATCTAAAAATGCAGGTTGCTTTCAAAGATAATCTTAAACATCCAACCATAGATTCAAAGAAAAGAACTCAATAATTAAATAAAATCAATAAGTACACCTTTATCCAAGAAAGCTTTCAAAGAACTGAAGAAACTTGTCCAATTTTAAAAATTAAGAACCTAAACTCCTTTATCAAGTTGGGGTGGAGGGCTGGCTCCACCCTACTCAATCACCTTTGAGATTTGATCAAAATTTTCAATTTAAAAGCAGATCCTAATTCCTACTGAAACTTTTAGCATCCCTTGCACCATTTATCATATTTTTAACAAGTAGATCACCTTAAGATAATGTGGATTATCAAATCCAAACCTAAGATTTTCATGTTGGGTTGGGTTAAGTTGCATCCATATCTTTTGTCTTAGCATTCTATCTATACACATTACATGTAGAAAGATATTAGGGGCTAAATAACAAGTTCACAACTTTATTTTTTTTCACTGGAAAAATAACCCAGGAAAATCCACTAGCTTACTAAGACGAGTAAAACACTTGTATTTGAATGTGAAAAATGAAATCTTTTAAATGACAGCTCAAAATAGCACTTTTTAAATGATAGCCTCGTAATATGTTATATGTGCTTTAATTCATTAAAATATATTTAATTGTTATTTTAAACTTCTGAAACTTTCAAAAATTTAAAATATTTGTGTGTATGTATATTTGGCTTAATAAGTATTTCTATCTATATTGATTCTTAACAAATTTCAGATTACCCAAATTCCCTATGATTTCTTCCTGTTAATGATAATGAAGAACTTAGTTCAAAAAAGACAAAGGGCCATTTATAGTTGCACAAAGCATCAACCTATCAAATAGAGAAGAGACAGCTATCCTAACTTTTCTAAGGAAAATTTAATATTTCAAATTAATTTTTTCAGAATTATGTCCATAAAATTTAGGTCGAACTTTTTTTTATTTTGCTCATTCCAATTTGTTCAAATGTCTAGTTGCAACTGTAGTAATAAACCCTTTATGAATCACTTATTTTTCTTTCTGTTTTTTTTTTTTAATATTGGATATCACTTCTCTGTATTAATTTTGGTGGACTATTTTTGCATAAATTATACCTTGTTATTTGTAGATATTGTAGAAATTAAATTCAAAAAGTTGGCAAAAAAAATTCTCAAGCTATTAATCTAATACTAGAAAACATGGTAGTGAGGTTCCTTATTTATAGCTCTCTCTACTTATTTCTTACTACAAAGAAGCCGTTTAGAAGTACCATCCTACTAATTTCCATTTTCTTCTTCTTCCTCAACTTATTTTCTTCTTTGTTATTTTCATCCTCCTCTTACTTGCTCCTCCTAATCTTCCTTGTCAACTTTTTCTCTTGTTTTCTCTATAATGGAGAGAGACATTTTCCCCAAAGGGCAATCTGCTTTCTTTCGATCTATTAATATTTTATTGGTGGACTACGACAGTCAACATCTTATTATGGTCAAAGAAAAACTTGAGTCATATTCATATACAGGTACATAGAAAGGATGTATTTTTTTTTCTTTTCTTTTTGTTCAACAACTATATATGTGCATAGTTTATTTTGAGTTATTTAACCAGTTCTACTGATTTAAATGTGAGCTTTCTTTGATTTTGATTTATTATTCTCTCTTTTTCCTTGTCCCATAACTAAGATTGATACTTTACATTATTTTCAATTCCCATTCATTTATGAGGTTGTACTTGGCAATTTTTCTTTTGGTCCTGTAACTAGTATTATGGAGATAAAAGATTAGCACCAGTTTCTTTGTGTTGGGTTAATAAAGTGTTTTCCCTTTTTTCCTTTTATTGTTTTTAATCTTTTTCTGTGTGTTATTTATTTAATTCTTATACTTGAAAAACGTTAACTATCTTAGTATTAGCTCCATTATAGTTATATTTGAAATTGCCATTTGTTCCAATGTTTGCATTTTGTGAAAGTTTTACATGAAAGAGGTAATTGGTTTGTCGTTAAAGCTTCATTTCTAACTTAGTGATTAACCTTAAATTGACTTACCCAAAAATTATTATGCAAAACCAGCTTTTATTAGATCTGATACCTTTCATAGATGTTCTGCAGAGATCTGAGATGTGAATAAATCATGGGATACTCTTAAGTGGTGTTTGGTATTGATGTAGCTTTTCGAAGAAACGGTGCCAGCTCAACATTGGAAATGCGTTTAGCAGAAAAATGCCTAAAAAGTTATTTGGTTGAGCCGGTTATTTGATAAATGGCTCTCTCAAAAATTGCGTGAACCGTTTATTATAAAAACACCAACTTTTACGTTTTTCATTGTCAAGACCAATATTTCATTGTTTGGCTTATATGGCGTCTAATGGCGCCTATTGGCACTGAAATGTAAAAAAATGGTACAAAACGTTTAAAGCAGATTTTCTCGTTTTTCAAAATAAAATCGTACAAAACATTTATCTTATAAACGCCATTGATACCAAACAACCGCTTAGATGTTCTAATATTTTTGTAAAGAATTTAATGATACTGTCTATATTTTATTTCTATGTCTGTGAGTAGAATAAATAAGGTGATTGTCAAGGTTTATAATATTGATACATATTGCATTGTATCGTGTGTACCATATCAAGGGTCCTAGATACGACAAATGCTAAGATTTTGGGCAATTTAATATTGAGGGTCCTGACATGCCTATCTGTAAAATATCATATTGCAAGAGAGAGAGTGTGTCTGTTCAAAACTCACAATACTGAACTTTTTCATATCGTGAGTACCAATACTTTAAACCTTGATAATTGTACCTTAACATGTTGAATATTTGGAAATGTTATGACAATTATCAAAAAGTTTAATGATTTATGTATTAAAACTTTGAAATTACCTATGTGTTTGCCTCACCTAATTTACTTTCAAGCATGCATATTCCATTTTAATAATTTTGGCGCCTTCTATTTTTATTAATAACAGGGGTAAAAACAATTTTCTTCTGGAAAAAAAAAAGTAGTTTTCTGATTGTTTTGAATATTTAAATACCATGCTAAACTTGGAAATGTAGTTTTAAAATTTTGATTTAACTGCTATTTCATAACCTTTGAGCTATCCTTGAAAAAGAAAAGTCTGATTGCATCTTCTATAAGCATGGCAAGGGAGGGTTTTGGGCTGAATTCTGTGACATGAATAGAAGGTGATAAAATGCATTAACAGAGAGAGTGAATCAGCCCTCCACAACGTCCCACAGCACATCCCCTCTTTGTATTGGGAACATCTCCCGATGATGATATCATCATTCCTGGTATTATCATTGGGAGATGTTCCCAATACACAGCAGGGATGTGCTGTGGGACGTTGTGGGGGCCTGATTTGAACTCATTAACAGAACGGAGTGGCAACCCTGTACAATTGGGATAAGGCTTGGATGATGATGATGAATAGAAGGTGATGTAGTGACTTTGTGATGCAGTTCAAGATCATGCATGCCCCCCAAAAACATTGAAAGATTTTAAAAGAAAAAACAAGTGGGCCTATATTTGAACTCGGCAATGGTCTTCCAATAGTCATCTTAGTTAATGGGTTATTAACGGCTACTTTGTTAATGGGCTTCTAAGGGCTAATTTTATTAAATGCCCAAATAGCTAGTTTCTATTCTCTATATAAACCTTGTATTATCAAGGTAGAGGCATCAAGTTATTTCCTTTGTAAATTTCAAAGTTTTCTTTGAAAATTGAGAGAATCCTCTCTTGGGTAAGTGAGTCCCTTCTTCTTTGATTACGTCTTCAACTTGTTGCCTTTTTATTATAATCCATATTATTAATTAAGAATGTTTTATCCAATTTTCTTTTTCTTTCCTATTTCTTTTTTGACCTAATTTATTCTTTTTTTTTTTTGTTATTTGAAGTGCATCAACTAGTATCTGAGTTGCATCTCCTTGTTGGGATGATTTTGGCCCCCGGCAGTGTACCTCGTTCTCTCCTTATTAGATGTAGGAAATTAAATGATTTCATAATTGGATAGATTAATCAGAATATCTAAGATGGTCTATCAGATGGAAAATCGATGCTCCAACTTTATGGATTCAGTTTTTAAAATCTTGTATATATAGAGTATTGCAAGAAACCATTTAGCATTATGAACTTGGGAGTAGTGCTTTTTTTTTTCTTTAATTTGCTTTGGCTTATTTTCTTGGAGATATATTGATCCGTACGTTTGAACATTTTCAGTTACAATGGTTGAAAGAGCCTCTGATGCTTTGTCCATTCTTGAGAAAGGAAATGTCAAATTTGATCTTGTTATGGCTGAGTTTGACATGCCTGATATGGATGGGTTCATACTCCTGAAGCATGTAGCAGTGGATATGGATCTCCCTCTGATTTGTAAGTTCTACCTTAAAATCCAGATATTTATTTCATTTGTTCACTTAAAATTCAGAAACCCTTCCTAGTAGAATTTCTTTTCTGTTTCTAATTTATCCTTTTTACAGTCATGTCAGATAATATAGACATGTCTACAGCAATCAGAGTACTTGAAAATGGAGCCTGTTTCTTTCATATGAAGCCCTTGTCCATGGATGCTCTTTGGGGCATATGGCAACATGTTCTCATCAAGAGGGTTTCTCAGCGTAGGGAAACTGAAGAAGCCGGAAGCATGGAAGATGTGGGATTTTTTAAGGCTTTGGAAGGCATTGACTGTCAATCCCTGGTAAATGGAAGAAGAACCAAATTCAAAAGAATGAGGGAAGAGCATGAAGAAAGCAAAGGCAACCAGAAAACTAACAATGAAGACTTGAAAGAGAAGAAGAAATCCAAAGGAATGGCTCTTGCTGCTGAAGAGGAACAATGTGAGAGCAAAAACACCGTCAGCAGTAGGGCCAAGAAGCCAAAGTTGTGCTGGGAAGATAATGGTCTTCATGACCTGTTCATGGACGTTATTCGGAAAATAGGCTTAGAAAGTAAATCTTTCTATTTAGTTTAATCAAGTCTAAAGATTCAATGCTGAAATCATTTTCCTTTTACCTCATTTGTTATATGCTTTGATATAACTTATGAAAACTGATGGTGTTTGCTTGATTCCTTCTTTCCTTGATCCAGATGCTACCCCAGCAAAGTTACTTAAACTAATGAATGTACCTGGAATAACAGTGCAACAGGTCACCAGTCACTTGCAGGTAAGTTTGCAGCTTGCATGGAACTCAAAAATGGTTATCTGCTTTTTTTTTTTTTTGGTTGATGGGTTTCGGCCATGTACATTCATTATCTGTTTTTTATCTTTTTCTTTGTAAGCTTTGATGCTGTATTTTCAGGAATCAGCTTCTTCGAATTACCACATTTATCTTTCTTTTCTTTGTTTGTTCTTCTTGGCTGACAATGGCATACATTCTCCTTAATGTCTCCAGAGGTTGCGCACCTACGTACGAAGTCGTAATCAACTTGCTGCCACAATGAAGAAACGTGGACGAAAGGACAGATCGATCTTTAATGTGCCCATTGGACCAGCACCCAAGACCAGCCATCCATTCAGTCAATCTGACATTGCTCCGAGAATCGATCTCAGTCAGCAATTATCAAGAAACAGAAGACAGGAAGCAATGTTACATGCGAGATTACCAGCAACAACCCATGAAAACCAAATGCTACCATTTCATGCACAGAGAAGAAATGGCAACCTTTCAGGTATTTTTGATATGATGCTAGCTCAGGATTGGAGAATGGGTGCTTCATCCAGTTGTATTGAGCCTGCAGGACGCAGTGATGCAACGCAGATGATCCATCCACACCTGCAGGTGGAACCGAGAGAGTTGGAAAGCAGAGCAGTTGATGACCAGAGAATGTTGAGTTTGAGTGCTCAGACTCAGAACATTAGCTACCTTGGGCATGTTGGATCATTGGACAGTTCATTCCAGCAACCAAGCATGGAGAACATTCTCAGCTCTCCTGGAGTTCAGATGATGAATAATGTGGAACCCCCTCGTCCCAGCAATTCCTTGAATCGGGACCAACCCACAAGAGCCCCAGTTAATGGAATTCAGAACATATGTCCTTGTCCCAACAGTTCCTTGAATCAGGACCAACCCACAAGGACCCAAGCCGACGGAATTCAGAACGTATGTGATGTGGGTGGTGCTGGCCACTGTCAAAATGCAGAGCTTATGGAGGAGAGTGGTGATACTCTGGATGATCTTGCTGGTAGTTTCTGTCTTGATTTTAATGACTTGATGGAGAGTCCTCCATTTGAAAACAGTACTTCAGTACCTTCGAAACAACTTGATGGGGTTGATTTTGATAAAGTGTTTTCCGACCAGGTCAGTATCTTTATTTCTTTGATTCAAGGTTAGTACCATAGACTTCGTAGTTTCAAGCAAGGTCTAAACAGTTACAGATTTTAGTGTCATCGTAAAGTTCATAACTAACTTGTAGTTTTTCCTTTTAGTCTATGTAGCAGGAACAAAATTTGCTGATTTGCAAAGCAGAAGACCGCATTTATCTGAACGAGAACAGAAATTAAGGAAACATGGTTGGCGTTTAGCAGTGAAAAAATGACCAGTACTAGAAACTGTTTTGGTTCCTAAAAATCTGACGTAGAGGGAGGCAGTTGTTGATTGCTTGGAGAGTTGGAGGTTGAAAGATGACCTGAAGTTGTAAAGTGGCTTGTAATCCTTTTGGTATTCTAATGTGCACACGGGGCACACTGGAACAATGAGGGGAGTCTGCCGATAAGCAGTTTAGAATTAACCCCCGTGGCCAAGACTCCTTTCTGGGAGGGATGCCTTCTGGCAAACTCAACTAGGAATAGATTGGTAAATGACTTTTACTTGTATACTTATGTAACATGTATATAATTGTAATTATTTTTAGAATCAGATCTCAACATTTTTCTAAGGGAACTGTCAAAAAGTAACTTTTCCTTTGAAAATGCCAACAAAAGCATTGTATGTATAATAAGTCCAGAAGGTAATTATAATTTACAAACATGATAAGAAAACCCTCAGAGCAAGTGGAAAATTAATAGTCTCGTGGGAAGTCTGAACTCTGGATTGAGGTAACAGATAAAGTAGTGCAAAACTGCAAATTTGGAAAATAGCATTTTACTCTGAAGTCACTGACATCAGATAATCTTTCACAACAAATTCCACAGAGAGCATTGTTTTGCCTCCTTTTGAAACAGGTCATTTGCATCCAATAAGTGAATGAAGATGGTGAGATTCCAATTACAAGACTTTGATTACTATTCCATGATTACTAAGTGCAGAATGATGCCTCAAATCTAGCAAAAGATTCTCCAAGTAAATTTATATGATGAGTAAAATCAAATTTCTAGTGCAGGTGAAACTTTCCAGCAACCATCAGGTCACCACCCCCACGCTCAAATTGTACCATATCAGTTGATGCATTATGGGTTAAGGGTTCAGATATGGTAGTCATTAGACTCTTCTATCAGATATATTTGCATATTTCTGAAACATCCAAAAGTAAGAAACAGGAAAGGGGAAAAGGTCTGGATCATTAGTTTTGCTATTTTGGGTTTCTATTTATTTATTTATTTATTTTTGTTTAGCAAGAGGCAATTGCTTGTTTTAATAGTAAAACCTTGGGCCAACAAGTATGAGAATGCAAGTTCAAGTCTGACAGTGGCCACTTTGTGCAAAAAATACCAAGGGTTAGGTCCAATTCCAGTCTAACCCTCCCAAGACCCCAGATAGCTTGGATCAACACTAGGTAATGGCCAACGACTACAATTTGAGGTTATTGCTCACAATGTATATAACCTACAGTTTTCAGTTGAACGATTTGAGTGTTTTTCTTCTTTTTGAGAGCAATGACTTATCTCATTTTTTTAGTATTAGAACTCCTATAAAAGTGCAAATCCCATCTCGATCTATAATGAAGCATATTAGAAGCAGTCTCCCTTTGTGGACTAGCAATGCCAAAAATTAGCTTTCAGTGCCCATGGTTCCAAGCTGAACCCCATCATGGCAGATTGAATGGAAAAGTCAAAGATCATGGTTAGCAAGGAGAAAGATCACCAAGACAGAAAAGAGGTTAGTAAGGAGAAACTACAAAAGATGAAAAACAACAGCATCTATTTATATTTAGTTGATTTCAGATCATGACAATTGTGATTTTGACCTGGCAGCATTTTTAAACTGAAATGTCTATGTTGGTTATGGGACCTTTGAACCAGTGCCGAGCACTCAAGATCCACGAAGAAACAGTAAGAATGAGAAGACCACCGACTGCAACAGGAGTGTAGTTTAGAGTATCCTTTGTAACGGGGTATGCTACAGGCAAAGAGAAGAGAACTGTAATGGTTGATACCCAGAGAACTGCAACCCAACCAACAAGGACCCCATAGCGGCCCAAGTTGAATGGTCCTGGAACAAAAGACTTACGAGCCAATGTCACCCTAAAGAATATGGGTAGTGCATATGCAATGTAGAGTCCAATAGTTGCAATTGACACCATAGCCTGAAATGCCACTAGGCTTCCAAGAGACTGCAAGATACATAACAAGAGCTATAATAAGCTACAAAAATGAACAAAATGAGAATTCTGCAATGTACGCATTATTTAGGGCATCAAATAAGGAATGTGAGTCAGAGAATTAGAGATCATAAAAAAATGTGATGATTTCATATGACTTTATCCCAATCCCTGCCCCATTTTGTTGAAGTACATAGGGATAGCTGAAAACTTAAGTTCCATTTCCACTTAAAACCACAAATTAATTATGATATAATAAATCTTGAGAAATCAAGACTGAAATGTACATACCGTCAATGCCATGCAGAACGAAATGAAAGCAGAAAGCCAAACTGCATTTATTGGGACTTCTTGTTTGTTCACTCGATGCCACAATGATGAAAAGGGCATGGCTCCATCTCTTGAGAATGCATATGCCATCCTGAAATTGAACAACCATACACCTAAGTAGCTCTGGAAAGAGGAAAGAAACTGAATCTACCCAAAGAAACACTTTTTAGACATGTGATAGAAATAAGTGAATGGGAGTTTTCACCTGGAGTTGCTCGTTACAGAACTCATACCACAAAAAAATATGGCAACAGAAATTGCTCCCAAGCAAATGATTCCCCCAACTCCATTTCCATATCTACTCTTGAAGACTTGGTAAAACACTTCAGCAATGGCATAACCACCAGCATCATTATCACTGCTCAAAAGGTATGGAATGTTGGTTACTGCAAATGTGATACCAAGTAGGTAACCCCAACCAACAACAATAGATATGCCAATTGCACTTATTATTCCTTTTGGTCCATTCTTATCTGCATTTTTTGTCTCCTCCGTCTGAAAGTATAAATTTTAGAGAAGAGAAAGTTTGGTTTCAGTAACAGGATAAATTTATGCAATTAAGATGAGAACACACTCAGACTAAGATTCTCTGAAAACAAATGATAATTGACTTCCCAAAGATAAATATGTAAATTTAAAAAACTAAGAAATGGAAGGAAAAGATCAGCTAGTATATGACATCTGAATGAAATTTGTAGATGTCTGCAAGTATAAAAATTTCATGACTAACTCTTTAAGTTACTTTAACTATAAGGCCAGGGATTTGTTGGTTCCAAACGTGGAATACCAGGTTCCAGGAAACAAAATAATCCATAACATATATTGTAGAGAGTCTTAGGGCATTTAAAACAATGGACCTGCCAAAATAGCTAAAACCAAAGATTGTTATCCCTATGTACGAGAACAAAACTGTCCAGCTTAAAAAATGATCAACAAACTAAAAGTAATCTTAGCAAGGGTACCAAGACCTATCAAGCACATCTTGGTTGAAAAATTATTTGATACCTTATCTTAGACATAATTTGATAGTTATTCTGCTGTAAGGGTAGTAAGTTTATCTAAGAATACAGGATTATGACATCATTACTTACCATATGTGCAGATGCATCATACCCTGTCAGGGTATATTGGCTCATAAGGAGGCCCAAAACAAATATGTATAATTTGCTATGGATACCTTCCCCATTATCTGTGTTGAAGTGAGTGAAAACAAACTTGGCACTAGCCTTCTCCGTTGCAACAGTAGGAATGAGAATCATAAGGACAAAAACACCTAGAAATGCCACCATAGATTAGTAGTCTAAGAGGAAGGCTACCTCAAGTCTGAACCTCAACAAGATAAAAAAAAAAGCTGAAAAGCCAATGAATTTCATACCTACAATATTCCATGCTGCAGCTAGTTGTCCAAAAAAGGACAACCATGAAATAGGAAGGCTATTTAAGATAGCATGGATGAGAAGAATTGCCCCATGGAAGCAAATAACTACATACTTAGAAGCTTCATATCCACCACCATTTTTCCCACCCGTGCTAAGAAGAATGATCACTTGAATCAGCTGTGCAAGTGAGAAATCCACACTTGTTGTCACAGCCCACTGCAAATGTAGGCCTTTCAAGAGATTAGAATCTCAAATGAACTGGTAATAGATGAAGAATACCCAGAAAATTCATAGCTTCAAAATAGTACTAAAGCTTTTAAACTAACAAATAGATGATCCCAGATATACCTGACCAACAATGTTGAACCTGCAAGGAAAAAGAAAATCAATTGAAAAGAACCATCACTTTTCATGTTTTGGATGCATACTATAGTTAAAAAACAAAGGTAAGTCAAGACAGCTAAGGTTCTAATATCCCAAAAGTATTATATCTAACAATTTGATGAAAAATTTAGCTTGATACAGGACTGAGGATAATTGTAGGAGAATAATCATGATAATGATGTTATTCTTAAAGAAACAAAAAATGAAGCATATAATAACAAAAGCAAATGTAAAAAATAGTAATATTAATGCTAGATATTCTAAATTTTCTTATTCACATTTACCAAGGGTAGGAAGAAGAGAAAGAAATTCAGACGAGGTGTATACAACTCAAAGGATATAAAACTTGGTCCAATTAAACACTCTGCTACTTTCCAGTATAAAAGTCACAGTCACTACATATTTTCAACAATCTATATTAAGGGAGGTCCAGTGTTATAAAAGTACAAGGGACTTTTAGTACCTAAGGCACAAGGAGCAAGGTGAGGCGTGTACCTTTCCCAAGCAAGACGCAAATTTTTACTCTAAAAACAAAAAAAAACTTGAATTTTAAAAGGAATTAAGTGTTTTCAAAAGTCTATTGGCTCAAACTAAAATACAAAAACTGATAAACATAACATATAAAGCATATTCTAAGTGAAAATGTGGACGTGAAAGCAAAAACATTTGGATTGTACCAAAGTGCTTCAAGCACTCAGTAATTCAAGTATGTGAAACTTTCAATCTATTTATTTATCTCCTAGCTGCATTACTTCAAGTATCTGTGGTGTAAAACATCTTGCATTCCCATTACTAGGAGATCAGCCCTCTGTCTCCATAAAGGCCACTAAAGGTAATCCCAAAGGCCCCAAACAAGTCCATGCTGGGGTTTGGGCCCCCCAACCTAAATTTTTGGCCTGTATATATAAAGAGATTAATTTTGTGGTTTTACTTGTGGATCATTCTATTTTAGGATTAAGGATCATATATTAGCTGTATAATTGTTGTTTTCTAGTGGAAATTTTGCTATTGGAGATCCTATTTATGAGAATTAAGGCTTTAAGTATTTGCAAGGTCTTTGTTTTAGTTTATTTTAAAGTTAATAGACCATACTAGTGTACAAATAACAGTAAAAGGAAATCAGAAATTGGTAAACCATTACGTAAGTGTATAACATGAAAGAATCCATAAAAAGGCAATTTTAAAAAGGCATACACCTGTGCTTCATCTACTTTCATCTTTAGCTCTGCTGTAGATGAAGCACAGATGCTTCTCTCTACCTGGTCTAACACCTCTGCTACCACCATTGCAACTGGACTGGTGTTGCCTGCACTGCTAGTGCTACGGCTTCTCTGTCAGTTTCTTCTCTCAACCTTCGAAGTCTCAATCTTTCTGGCAAGACCTCTCCTTCAATCTGCTAACTACCCAACCTCTTCTATCTCAATCTTGCAGACAATATCATCAACCAGCCCATCCCTATTCATCTCTCTCAATGCAGTGCGTTGCAAACATTGAATCTCAGCAACAATCTCACATGGGGAACAATCCCAGATCAGATTTCTCAGTTAAGTTCACTGACGGTGCTTGATTTCAGCAGAGGTCTGGTTTTTATGGGAGGGATTCCTGATTCTTTTTTGGGCTTAAAAGGGTTGGAGGTTCTAGACCTCTCTCAGAACAATTTGACTGGTGGGGTTCCTGAGAAACTCGGGCTTGGTCTTGGGAATTTAGTATCCTTTGATGCTTCACAGAACAGACTATCTAGGCCATTCCCTACTGGTATCTGCCAAGCAAAAGGCCTCATTGAGCCTTCATACGAATCATGCCCTACCTGTTCCACTTTAAGTCTACCCTTCCAAACGTGAAGAGTGTAAATGGGCCTAACGATCCAGTTCTCATTTACACTCTAATAAACTAATGATGCAGAACTCTATGGTGTAAAATTGTATTTACACCGGTTCCAAACGCAGACTAAGTGAAATTGCAATGAAAACAACGAAAGCGCATAGGGGAAACTGAGAAAAGTAGAAAGGTTTAAAAGGAAACTCATTGTTTGCAGGAAATTAATCCTAAAGCGAAGAGTTTAGCTTCAATCAGTGAGGATGGAAACTGAGAAACTAAGAAAAAAAAAAAGAATAAAAAGAAAAACAGAATGAATTACCAGCCCGTCAACCATGAAGCAAAAGGTGCCCAACCCGGGCCAGCAAGCTTGGCGCTCCAGTAGTAGAGACCACCTGATGTTGGATAGGAGGAGCAAATCTCAGCCATCGACAACCCAACAAACATGGTAAAGAAACCGGCGATGAACCAGCCATAAACCATAACAACAGGGCCCCCGAAATTTAGCCCTGTATTGTAAAGGGTCGTTATCCCTGTAAGCACTGATATTATCGAAAATGAAAACGCAAAATTCGATATCACCCTGCAAATTCCGAACAACACCCATGAACTGAACTGCACCACTAACTAAATTGACCCCATTCCCACAATTCATCCAAGGATAAATTGGGAATCAGTCAGCAGAAAGCATCGAAAGAAATAAAAAAAGTGAAAATAAAGAATAATGGTTAAAATCAAAAGAAAAAAAAAAGTTTCAAATGGTTACGAGAGATCGCGCTTCAGTTCCTGCTTATAACCAAGCTCGTGAAGCCGTGCATGGCCTGAATCCTCTGCAGAGTACCCATGTTGAGAATAAGGACGAACGGTGTCTTCATGGTTCCACACCATCTCTCACTGTAATACAACAACAGCGAGACCGAGGTGGATCTACTCTCTCTCCACTCTTTCTAGTTTCTAATATATGTACAATTGGGTGGTGGAAGTCAAACAAAGCGATCCAAACAAACTCTACGATCCTTGCTTTACACGCACACGCAGAGTAGGAAATGAAGCCGATGTGCTTTTTTGTTTACTAGTTGACCAGCTCCTTGATAATTGGAAATGGTAATCTTCACCTCAACTTTCTGTTTTAGCCTAAATCAGATTTTTCTACTCTTCTCCGTTTCGTATTGACCTGAGATTTCTTTTCTCTCTCGGTAAAATATCGTTTTCAGTTTCAGACTTCAATATAAGATTGGTAGTTGGGTGAAGAAACAGAGAAGTATTGGACTGAATATAAGTGTAGTATATGGAATTAATTAACCAAACAAATAGTCGATGATGTCATGGAATCCGCATCTTTTTTTTGACTGGATCGCATCTGGGTTTGGCCGGCTGGTTTGTGAAGACTGAGGAGGATATGGCTTGTTCTGCGTCCATTATTCAAATCACTCTTCAAAAGTCCGATTTCGGCTAGTTATGTTCATATGCAGGTTCAGGGTCATTATCACTTTATCTCCTTTGTATATTTTTGTAAAAGAATACTTTTTTTTTTTTGTAAAAGAAGAGTAATTCATTTAAATCATAAGGAGCAGGGATAGGGCCCCCAGATTCAGAATACAACGACCAACCAATTACAAATTTGCCGGTGATCATTAGGAAATAAAAACCAAAAACCCATTCCCAGAATTTTTTAAGGCAGTTTAGTCGGTGTATATCTGAAGGTTGTTCATTATTGGTTAGTGTTCATTGAATCTCGTGCTTGTCTACGATATATTGCGTTTGAAAATACACTACAATTTATTTGCATCGTTCGGTTCTGGACTATGGTGTGGACCGAATCACAATATCTCGTGAAACAGTAAATATCATATCGCAAAATCTCTTCCACGGGTAAGAATCGTGGATTGTTCCAAGCAACGGTGAAAAACCCTAAGAGTCATTGATTCCCTGCGCTTCGCATCATTATTCCGTTCTAAGAAATAATTGTTGTAGCTCTTTTTTGGAGGAAACCATTATAGTTCTTGCTCTCCCATTAATTGCCTTGGCGTTGGAAGAAGGTGGCCAACACCGGTCAAAGTTACCCCAGTTCATTGAACATCTGTTCATCAACTATTTGAATAGATGGTCATCTGGACTTTTTTTTTTACCACAGATGTTTATTTGGGATTGAACCACAATTATCTTGTTTCAATACATTGAACGATCGACCCATTCTGATAGAAAAAAAAAAAGCGATCAAAACTGTTGAACAGTTAAACCGCATAGGTCAATGATTGGTTGATTAAATCAACGTTTTTTTGCCAAAATTTGGTTTTGGTGAAAAACGGAACCGATCACCTTATTGGTTCCCGGTTTTTCGATCCGACCGTTCAAACCAGACGGTCGACCCGTTCCAATAGAAAAAATAAAAAAAAATAAAAGATAAAAAACAGTCAAAACCGTTGAACGGTTCGAGCAAGGTTCAAAGTGTTGACACGTATTGGCCCATCGGCCAATACATATCGTTCCGGGACCTCTTCGATATACCCCTATAGTGGGTGTATCGGGGGTCTGACCGATTCAAGGGGTGGAGGAGCCCTAAACCGCCCCCCTAACCAGTTTTGAAAAAAAAATAAAAAAGTAAAAAAAAAATGTATTAATTCACCCGATATGCCCCTATTGGCGTATCAAGCGTATTGATATTTTGAACATTGACGATTCAACCGCCCAGGTCAGCGGTTTGCTAACCAAATCAATGTTTTTTGGCCAAAATCCGATTTTGGCAAAAAACGGAACCGGTCACCTAAACGGTTCCCGATTTTCCCAGTCCAACTGTTTGAACCAAATGGTTGGCTCGTTCTGACAGAAAAAAATAAAAAATGGTCAAAACCGTTGAATAGTTCGAACAGCTCAACTGCCCGGGTCAGTGGCTTGCTAACCAAATCAACGTTTTTTGGCCAAAATTCGATTTTGGCGAAAAACAAAACCGGACACCTTACCGATTCCCGGTTTTCCGATTTGACCGTTCGAACCGAACAGTTGACCCGTTCTGACAAAAAAATAATAAAAATTATAGAAAATGATCAAAACCGTTGAACGGTTTGAGCAAGGTTCAAAGTGTCGACACGTATCATTCTAGGACCTCTCTAATATGCCCCTATAGTGGGTGTATCGGGGGTCTGACCGGTTCAAGGGGTGGAGGAGCCCTAAACTGCCCCCCTTGAACCGGTTTTAAAAAAATAAAAAAAAAAGTAAAAGAAAAGGTATTGATTCACCCGTATTGATATTTTGAACCTTGACGGTTCAACCACCCGGGTTAGCGGTTTGTTGACCAAATCAACGTTTTTTTTTTAGCCAAAATCTGGTTTTGGCAAAAAACGGAATCGACCGGCTGACCAATTTTCGGTTTATCTGGTTTGACCGTTCGAACCAAACGGTCAGCCCATTTTGATAGAAAAAATAAAAAATGAAAATTATAAAAAATAGTCAAACCATTCACTTGACTGGTTCGATCGCCCAGGTCAGCGGTTTGTTGACTAAATCAACGTGTTTTAGCCAAAATCCGATTTTGGCAAAAATCGGAACCGGTCCAATCACTTGATTGGTTCCTAGTTCTTCCGGTTCGACCGTCCGGTCCAGTTTGGTAACCATGGAAACAGTAAAAACATTTAATTGGATAAACATATATTTTATTATTTATTATTTTACATAAATAAATAGTGTTAATGTCAAAATGTCAATAACTTCATAAAACAATATTAGTAATATTATTAATATTATTAATAATATTTTTTTAATTAATAAGTTTTAAATATATTTTTTATTAATATTATTAATCATTGTTAATTATTAGTAATTAGTAACAATATTATTAATTATTATCAAATATTATAAATATTATTGTTAATTATTATTAACACTATTTTATTAATCATTAATTATTAATATTGTTTTTTATTAATATTAATATTTATTTTTTAATTATTATTATTACTAATTTTAGTTAATATTAATATCATTATTTGTTATTAAATATTATTAATATTATTGTTAGTATTATTAATTATTATTAATATTATTTTTATTAATTATTAAATTTTTGTAATTTATTTATGTTTTTCTATTATATATATTACTAAAAAATAAAATATTGTGTTTTAATGATTAACAACATAGATAATCTCACATGTTGTAGTTGAGATGCATGGAATCAAATACAAGATGTGGACAGAAATGTGCCACACCTTGCAGAACACCCGTTAAGGTGTGGTATGGATCAGTATACACATTTTTGTTTATGGTGTAGAACAACTATCATGTTGGGGTGTAGATGAAAACACACCACCTAATTTCTCATCTACGTTATAGAATACTCCCTTAATGTGTTAGGAAAACTAAAGTGATGTATGGATAAACTACACATTTGGGATAAGTGGACTGTACTCCCTCTCAGAAATTTGAAATTACAACCACCTCCTAGTCTATTAGTAGCCCCTCTATAAAATGCCTCTTGCCCATGGATTTGGCATCAATCCACGGTCAAGATTCAGTCCACACCTAGAAATCTTAGCTTCACCATTGGGGTGGACTAAACGGTTAAAACCACTAAACTTTTTCAAAGTACTTTCATACTTTTGAATGTTTGAAAGAATAAATACATGATTTCATACTTTGGGTAGACTTCTACTTTTGTGCTTTTAATAGTATCAAAGTATAAAATACAAAAAAATGTTTTTACTTTGGTGTTTTTGCTTTAAAAATCATTTGGGTAAAAAATTTTGTAAAGTATGCTTTTCGGAACAAAAGAACCGTTTCTTATTTGGTAAAAGCACGTTAATCCATGCTTATGGTGGTTTGGTGGCTAAGACCAATGGCGGCGATGTAACTCCAGTAGCGGCAAACAAAGGTGGGGCTGAGAATTGTATCAGAAGGTGGTCACACGTGACCACCCGTTTGCACTAAAACAAAAGTACTATTTCACCAAAAGCATGTAGCATAAAAAGCCTTTGTGCTTTTGGGGTTTTTTTGTACTTTTAAAAAGTATAAAAGCAGAAGCACAAAGTATAAATACAAACACTATATCGTACTTTTTGAATCGTACTTTTGGTACTAAAAGTATGAAAGTATTTTATAAAAGTCTATCCATACAGGGCTTGTGTTTTACACTTTCACTTTCTTATTTTATAAAAGTACAACAAAAAAAAAATCTAGAGACACAAAGTAGACTTTTGATATTTTATATTTTTAGGCCCCCTTAAAATATACTTTCTAAAACATGTGCATCAATTGCATATGGGGTATTTATACCTCCACCATGTGGCTAAATGTAAAGATGTCACAAGGCTCTTGAATGTATCTAGTGATACATATGTATCATGTGGCTATAGATGTTACATGGTACTAGAATATATTTAATAACATGTGTCACGAGACGGTATATATGGATGTCATATGACACCAATGACATGTGTGAACCACATGACAACATATATGGATGTCGTATGGCACTTGAATGTATTCAATAGCATGTGTATTCCAATGTATTCAATAACATGTGTTTCATGTGGGACTTGAGCATATTCATTCACACATGTGTGACACATGGCACTTAAACGTATTTATTGGCGTGTGTTATGTTTTAGCATATATAGATGCGATATGTCATGTGCATGACATATAATGGCATACACTTGGACATATTTAATAATAGGGCAAAGTTCTTAAACTACTCGTATTGTTTAGTTAATTGACAAATTATACCCTTACTGATTAATTATTGTCTTAAACCACCCTTACTATTTTTAACAATTAACTAACTCTACCCCTGCCGTTACCATTCGTTAATGTTCCACCAAAATCCATACACATGTGACACCACGTGACATTTAAATTTTTTAAAACCCAATTTCACCCTTATTCCCTTTATCTCCATGCATCCAATCTCTCTCTCTCTCTATCTTTCTCTTTCTTCCTTTTCTTCTTTTTCTTCTCTTTCTAAAGCAACGAAAGATTTTTGTTTAACACAACTAAAACCAAATCTTCTATGAAAATGAATGTTGAGCCCCTTGTCCTAACGATCATGCTCTTGGATGAGTTCGCATCTCCGCCCCATCACCTGCCACCCCACTAATGCCCCACACAATGCGCAACTACCACATGTCCAATCGCACGCAGTGGAGCGTTCCCATGTACAGGGCTAACAGGACGATCGTTAGCTCGTCTCGTTAGCCCCAAAACAAGCCCAAACCTCCTTTTTCCCATATTCTCGCCCCCTCAACCTCAAACCAACGTTTTAAAAAATGACTCCGAAATGGAATCATTTTAGCCACCGTTTTTCAAGTCGACAATCTGATCGGCCGGTTCAAATGAACAGGCCATTCAGACAAATAAATTAAAAAAATAAAAAATGGTAAAAAACCGTTGAACGGGTCGATCTCTCGG